TGAAGATCTTTTTTGTACAGTTCTTCTGTGTATTCTTGCCACCTCTTCTTAATATCTTCTGCTTCTGTTAGGTCCATACCATTTCTGTCCTTTATTGAGCCCATTTTTGCATGAAATGTTCCCTTGGTATCTCTGATTTTCTTGAAGAGGTCTCTAGTCGTTCCCATTCTGTTGTTTTCTTTTATTTCTTTGCACTGATTGCTGAGGAAGGCTTTCTTATCTCTCCTTGCTATTCTTTGGAACTCTGCATTCAAATGGGAATATCTTTCCTTTTCTCCTTTGCCTTTTGCTTCCCTTCTTTTCACAGCTATTTGTAAGGCCTCCTCAGACAACCATTTTGCCTTTTTGCATTTCTTTTCCATGGGGATGGTCTTGATCCCTGTCTCCTGTACAATGTCACGAACCTCCGTCCATAGTTCATCAGGCTCTCTATCAGATCTAGTCCCTTAAATCTATTTCTCACTTCCACTGTATATTCATAAGGGATTTGATTTAGGTCATACCTGAATGGTCTAGTGGTTATCCCTACTCTCTTCAGTTTAAGTCTGCATCTTGCCTATATTACCCATCAAAAGAAACTTGAGATCGTTTCCCCTGTTAAAGTGGCTCTGAGGAGTTCTTCTGCAGGTCTTCTCACTTCTCACTGGACAGGTCGAGTCATGTCCAGCAGACGTCTGTTCTGGACATGACTCGATCTGATAGATCTCACAGAAGTTTGAACCCTACCTCCTTGTGGGCCTGGCACACTGTGGGGAGAGCTCTCCTCTCTGCCTGTGGCTCAGAGAGTCCCACATGATACATCTGAGCTGAAGGCTGCCTGGTCCCCTTCAGCAGAAGGCAGGAGGTCAGAGTGCTAAAGACAGTGCTTTTTCAGTGTATCCAGGTGGGACCATAACCAAAGGAGTCTCCTCACAGTCTTTGCAGCATTCAGCATCCCTATTCTTCTGTGTTTTGTTACGCCCTTTCATATAAGACAGAAAAATACAAAATCAACTACATGCTATATCTTGACCTCACCCAAAGCTTTATGGATTGGGTTTTACTATTTTTGCTTTTCTTTTTTTATTTTTGTTTGTCAAATAAGGAAACTGAGGTTCAAAAGGGGGCAGTGATTTGAACCTGTGATTTCTCTGACCCCAGAACTGTGCCCTGTCCCCTGTCCACCCTACACAGCCAGGCTGAGTGCCTTGTGTCAGCTGGATCTGGCTGGTGTTTTTCATGTTAAAATAATTTTTAAGCCTCATGAGCTTGTATGTGTGTGTTTTCCTCTCATCTTTTTCTTTCCCCTGAAGTTTCTTGATTCTCAGCCTGGAATAGAAAAACCAAGGGCTATTTAGACCATTCTTCCAAAGAGACTGGCAGCATCAGAACCACCCCATAATTTGACAAGAGTCACAGATCTGAGGAGTGGATGTAGAATGGGCAAGGGGTGGGCACTACTAAACAGTTTGATGGACTTGGCTTATAAAAGGAAGGCAGGAGTCTGTTCTGGCAGCAGTGTCTGCTCACAAAGGCCAAGTGAATGCTGCACACTCATGGGGAGGGAGATGACCAGCCAGAGGGCAGGAGCAGGTTTGCAGCAGTTCACGGCTTGGCGTCCACTCCAGTATTCCTGCCTGGAGAAATCCCGTGGACAGAGGAGCCTGGCAGGCTACAGTCTATGGGGTTGCAGAGAGTCAGACACAACTGAAGTGACTTAGTGCACACACATGGCTTAGAGGGCTGGCTGGCCTTAGCTAGGCTCATTGGATCACCCTGTCTACAGAAGCCTCTCTGCATACCCCTCAGGCTGAACTGCAAAGTAAACTGTCTAGCAGCAGCCGTTTGCCCTTGGAATCTGAAGCATCCATCCCCTCTGCAAACATCCAGTACCCACTGTCTGAGGAATCTGAAGCATCCATCCCCTCTGCAAACATCCAGTACCCACTGTCTGAAGGAGAACACCATGTCCATTGGGGAAGGGAGAGAAGTAGACAGGTGAATCACAAGCAATGATTATTGCTGTGATAAGAATTTATGATTGGAGCACAAGACGCTGAGGAAGAACCAAGGGGTGGTTGCCTAAGTCTTGAAAGCTAATACAATCATGCTAACTGCACTAATTATACTGCCTAATATTTGAGTTATCTGCAATGTGCTTGGTCTTTTCACTTTGCCCCTACAACAAACCCTCCTTCAAAATAGATACTATCATTTCCACTGAGAGATGAAGAGAAAGAGGCCCAGAGAGGGATTAGAAGCTAAGCCTGTTAACTCTCTTAGTCCTGGTTCTTGCCAGAATTACACAGCACTCCACCGCAACTGCCTGCACCCAGGGAATGTGGCATACAAATCGCGACATTCTACAGCGCCCTGACTTCTTCATCCTCACCTCCACCAGTGACCAGGGTGCACACACGTAGAGAGACTGGCTATTAACATCCGCAGATGTTAACTGCGGATTTTGTTAACTCAAATTTGGGAGGTGTAGTATTAAGATGAAGATTCCAAAGTCTTCATCTTTGGAATTTAACAGAGACCGTGGAGCTCACCATTTAGGCCCAGATCAGTCACAGGTATGTGGCATGGAGGACCCCGCCCAACATGGGTCCTCAGTACCCGAAGGTGGTGGTCGTCCTGGGTCTTCGGCTCCGTACAGTCAGCAACCTGGGCTCCCCCGCCCTCACTCCAAGTCTTAACAAGCACAAGAGTTGGGCTGCGGCGCCCAGGGCCACGCCTCCCACAACACAGCTGACCCGAGAACAGACAAGTCCAGAACCGGTGTTTGGAGACCTTCCGCCCTGCGGTTCACGGTGGGCAGAGCTGCCCACGTCCCCCAGCTGAGGTTAACGCTGAGAAGGTACTGCAGACGCTACCCAAGGGGGTCAGCGGCGCTGCACAAAGTGAGGGAGGGCAGTCCCGGACGCGACCCACGAGCTCCGCCTTCGTTCCGCGTCCTAGCCGTACTGGTTGAAACTCGATTGAAAGGCTGTTCCAGGAGCAAGTGCAATCCCCACTCTCAATGGCTAACGTGGGTCGCGGTATTTTAGATGAACCCGCCTTCGAGCTTGCATCACCTTCCTACTGGGTGGTTCTGTGAGCCCGGCCATATACAAGCTCCGCCCCTGCCTATTACACCGGATGGCCGTCCTGGGGGCGGTTCCAGTGAGCGATGCCCTTCGGCTTTTTAATTCCATTGGTCCGCTTTGACTTGAAGGGCGTCTCCTAGAGCAGACGCTAACCCCGCCTTGCGTTCCCATTGGCTGCTCCCTTACCCGGCCTAAAGCAGCTCCTCGCCGTCTGTTGGTTGCCCTGGCCTGAGAGGCCGGCGCTGGCCGCACTCGCGGGACCCGTGGCAGTTCAAGGCGTCAGAGCCGGCAGAGCAAGCGTTGATCGCGGACATGACGCCTGAGGACCAAGAGGAGACCCAGCCGCTCCTGGGGCCGCTCGGCGGCAGGTGAGCGGTAGGGGGAACCCAGGTCCGCTGGCGCGGCCTCACTTCTCCCGCTGCGCCCAGCCTTGACGCTAACCAACCGCCCCTGTCACCGCAGCGCTCCCCGCGGCCGCCGCGTCTTCCTCGCCGCCTTCGCCGCTGCCCTGGGACCGCTCAGCTTCGGCTTCGCGCTCGGCTACAGCTCCCCGGCCATCCCGAGCCTGAGGCGCGCCGCGCCCCCGGCCCCGCACCTCGACGAGGACGCAGCCTCCTGGTTCGGGGTGAGGCCTCGGGCTCACCCTCCTGCCCTCCTGAGACCCTCCTCCGCCCACCCCTAAGACGGGACTGCCTGGCTTCGGGCTGGCACGGAGACCCTCCGCCGAGTATGTCCGGGCTCCCCTGAGAGGGGTCGCCCTCTCCCCTTCCCCCGCAGCGGCCGAGGGTGGAGTGGAGGGCGAGGTTGGGCCGCGGGCCCCCGGCGCCCCCTGCCTCAGCCCGCGGTCGCCCCTCCCCAGGCCATCGTGACCCTGGGCGCCGCGGCCGGGGGCCTGCTGGGCGGCTGGCTCGTAGACCAAGCGGGGCGCAAGCTGAGCCTCCTCCTCTGCTCCATGCCCTTCGTGGCCGGCTTCGCCGTCATCACCGCGGCTCAGAACCTGTGGATGCTGCTCGGAGGCCGTCTGCTCACCGGCCTGGCCTGTGGCATTGCCTCGCTCGTGGCCCCGGTGAGTGTGTTTCCCCTCAGTCTGGCGTCCTGGGACGCGGGAGAAAGGACAGAACTCCGGGCCCTGGCTGCGGCCTTTTGGCTGCCTGACACCATGCCCCTCCCCTGCTCCAGCTTCCTTACACTCCCATGGGGCCTTAGAAAGAGCTGTTGCTTTCCATCCCTGGTTACAGATGAAGCTTAACGGAACGTGAAGTGACAGTCTTTCAGCCGTGTCTGACTCTTTGCGACCCCATGGACTGTAGTCCATGGAATTCTCCAGACCAGAATGCTGGAGTGGCTATCCTTTGCCTTCTCCAGGGGGATCTTCCCAACCCGGGGATCGAACCCAGGTCTCCCTCATTGCAGGCAGATTCTTCACCAGCTGAGCCACACGTCCTTGGTTTAAGCACAAAGTCAGTGATGGTGCTACTTCTTGAACCCCGGGTGGTGGCACTTAACAGGGCCTCTCTTTGGCTCTACAAATGAGGTGCCCTCTGTAGATGGTCAACAGAAGCCTCACATGATGGCTTAGGTCCCCCTTGGCCTTCAGACCACTGGCTCCAGTTCAGCAGGAAAATCCCACTGTGGTTTGTCCCCAGGGGCAGAGGCTGCTGGGACCTGGCCCGCCCCTTCACTGCTCAGGAAGCGGCCCTCCAGGTGTTCCCCGCGCTCCTCTCTCACCACCTCCTGACCCAGCACTGCCCAGGCTGCCTTTGGAGCTGGACACGTCTGGGTGAAACCGCAGCCCTGGGCAGAGCACCTCTGTGAGCCCATAGGCAGGAATGATGGCGTTAGCTTGGGCCATAGCTGTGTGGCTTTATGAGAGCCTACACTCATGGCCCTGGTCCTGGCATGGCCAGTCGAGGGACTTGGACCCTCGCAGGTGGGGTTTCTGGGTGTTCTGTGACCTGCTGCTGATCATGGGCTTCGATGATCCACCACCACCCACACCCTAACCAATCAAGACTAAAAGTAGTAGCTCAAAATCCCTCCCTTTGCACCTACCACTCATTTCAACTGCATCTGCTGGGTAACATGCAGCAGCTAGGTTGGATATTATATCTGGATTTTTTTGTGTTTTTTTTTTTTTTACTGAGCAAAAACACACCTGACTTAGGCATGGGCATGGAATAACCCAGAAGCATGGGCAAGCGCTTTCTGGCTCCTGAGCCCAGAGGAAGCTGTGGCAATCACTGGTAGCAACCAAGGGGGAGAGTTCCTGCTTTCACTCCAAGGGCACCACTCAAAGTGTGGTCCTTGGGTCAGGAGCTCTGTGTCTCCTGGAGGTGGTTAGAAAGGCAGAAATCTTGGGCCCACGACATACCTGTTGTTGTTGTTTAGTTGCCAAGTCTTGTATCTGACTCTTTGTGACCCCGCAGACTATACCCCGCCAGGCTCCTCTGTCCGTGGGTTTTCCCAGGCAGGAATACAGGACTGTGTTGCATTTTCTTCTCCAGGGGATCTTCCCCATCCAGGGATGGAGCCTGTATCTCCTGCTTGGCAGGTAGATTCTCTACCACTGGGCCACCAGGGAAGTTCTGCACACCTTCTATGTTAGAATTTGCTTTTTGTCAAGAGTATACAATTAAATGAAAGTGTGAAAAGCTCTGTGCGCCCCCCCCCGCCCAGCACAGACACAGCATCCACACATATACCCTTTAAACATGTGCTGTAGATCACATAGATGGGAGCTCTGATGACCAGGGAACTGCAGTTCCGGGCTCCCTGGGCTTGGAAGTGCCCCAGCCCAGGCTGTCCTCAGCTCTGAATGGCTGAGACTTTTCAGTTTTAAGAACTCCTAGACCCGAAGTACACTGTCATCTTAATTACCAACAGGTCTATATCTCTGAAATTGCTTACCCTGAGGTGCGAGGGCTGCTCGGCTCCTGTGTGCAGCTGATGGTGGTCACAGGCATCCTCCTAGCCTACCTGGCAGGTATGGTTTTCATATTATCTCATCTGGTGACTGTTCATGGCTGTGGCTTTCTATCAGATGTAGAAACTGAAGTTCAGAGAGGTCAAGGGACTTGCCTAATGTCACACAGCCACTGCCCAAGATGCCACGTTCCCAGACCACTTACCTGAGAACACCGGGTCGTGTGGGTCTTGTGACAGTATTCTGAGGAGAGCTGGGGAAGGTGATGTCCTCATCTCCCCAGAGCAGAAGCCCATTCCAGGAGTGTAGGGATACCTGATGAGTTAGAGCAGCATCTCCCTGTGCGGTGACAAACTAGGATTCTGGGGCTGGAGGGAAAGTCTTTAGCCCAAGATCTTAGAGGGCGCAAATATGTCTCCCTCAGATCACTACTGGATTTGCAGCCTGAAGGAGGCAGTTTCCACAGAACCCGAGGGTCAGAGCTGGAGCCAGCATGAGGAAGCTTCCAGAAGCACTGGGAAGCTTGCAGAGGCAGCCTAGAATGAACTCGGGTAGAGGAAAGACAGGCTTCACATCTGACAGCCCCGGATTAGGGGAACATGCCACTTACTAGCTGTGTGATCTTGGCCTAGTCAACTGCCCCTGGGAGCCTTAGTTTCCTTGTCTTCAAGAGGAGATTAACCTTACCTAGTCCAAGGCTGTTGAGGGATTAAATTAACTGACGCTGTAAAAAGCGCCTGGCAGCAGACCCTGATATTGTCAAGGGATGGCCTGAGAACCATGAGGGCATGGGGGTTTGGGGCCGGATGGGCAGTGGCAGGGCCCGGGCATGTGCCCTGTGGTTTCTCAGAGTGGACAACATGCAGGTCCGTGGTCTTTCCTTTCTACCCACTTAGCGTCCTGACTCTCGTTCAGAGTCCTGGCCGCAGTCTAGCTACTTTATGGGGCCAGCAGTGTGCCAAAGCCCCTGTATAGACACTGATACTCAGGACAGTCACATGGGTGTAGTCACACCAATAGGGTTTCCTCTAGGTCATCAGAAGCCACACTTAGACTGGTCAGCTTCTGTGAGTTTTGATTGACGTTTTCCAGTGAAAAGTCCCCCTTCTTCTCTGTCCCCCTTCCTCCCAGAGGAGCCAGCCTTGCCTGCTTCACAGTTAGTCTACCGGGAGGGGACCTGTGCACACATGGCCTCCTGCCCCACCTCCCTTTCACACGCATGGTGCCATATATCACAGCAATACAGAGTGAGCACCTTTGTTTAGTGGCTGCATAATTTGGAAAACTCACCAGTGGCCACAGGACTGGAAAAGGTCCGTTTTCATTCCAATCCCTAAGAAAGGCAATCCCAAAGAATGCTCAAACTACCACACAAATGCACTTATCTCACACGCTAGTAAAGTAATTCTCAAAATTCTCCAAGCCAGGCTTCAGCAATACGTGAACTGTGAACTTCCAGATGTTCAAGCTGGTTTTAGAAAAGGCAGAGGAACCAGAGATCAAATTGCCAACATCCGCTGGATCATCGAAAAAGCAAGAGAGTTCCAGAAAAACATCTATTTCTGCTTTATTGACTATGCCAAAGCCTTTGACTGTGTGGATCACAATAAACTGTGGAAAATTCTGAAGGAGATGGGAATACCAGACCACCNGGTGTTGGAGAAGACTCTTGAGAGTCCCTTGGACTGCAAGGAGACCCAACCAGTCCATCCTAAAGGAGATCAGTCCTGGGTGTTCATTGGAAGGACTGATGCTGAAGCTGAAACTCCAGTACTTTGGCCACCTCATATGAAGAGTTGACTCACTGGAAAAGACCCTGATGCTGGGACAGATTGGGAGCAGGAGGAGAAGGGGATGACAGAGGATGAGATGGTTGGACGGCATCACCAACTCGATGGACATGGGTTTGGGTGGACTCCGGGAGTTGGTGATGGACAGGGAGGCCTGGCATGCTGAAATTCATGGGGTCGCAAAGAGTCGGACACGACTGAGCGACTGAACTGAACTGAACTAAAACCTTCACTGATGTACCCCCCTCATCGTTTCCACACTTAACAATAAAAATGACAACATCAATGACAAACCCTAGGAGAGTCCTGCAAAGACACTGGGGTCCCCACCCTTTAAGCAGAGTCCCTGGTTGGCAAGGGGGCAGGGGCTCCTCGAGAAGATCCGCACTGGCTAACCCCGCTCTGACGTCTCTTCCCCCCACCCCCAGGCTGGGTGCTCGAGTGGCGCTGGCTGGCCGTGCTGGGGTGTGTGCCCCCCTCCTTCATGCTGCTGCTCATGTGTTTCATGCCTGAGACCCCTCGCTTCCTGCTGTCTCAGCACAAGCGCCAGGAAGCCATGGCCGCCATGCAGTTCCTATGGGGCTCTGCTCAGGGCTGGGAGGAGCCCCCCATTGGGGCTGAGCACCAGGTGAGGAGCTGAGAGCCAGTCCCGGGGAGGGGGACCGGGGAGTATCTCCCCTGAGGTCAACGCAGCGTGGTGCTGTGGCTGCACATGTGTGTGCTCACACACGTACACACGATGGCCCATGGGAGTGCTGTCCTGTGGGCCGCTACTTGGCCGCACCAAAGTCTTGGTCATCCCTGGGGAAGCCTGAACCCCGATCTCCATGTCCCAAAAATAGAAGGGCTGGACCGTGTCAGAGGAGAATGCAGGTGGGGACTTGAGGACTCGGAATTTTGAAACAGGGAGCTATAGGGCCCAGGAGAACACTGAGTCTCTGCCCCTTACCTCTGTGTGACCATCCCATCTTTAACCTGAGTTTCTTCCCCTGTAAAGTGGGGTCATAGCACATGCCTGGCGGTGGTGGTAAGGATCAGTGGGGCTAGGGAAGGTGCTCGGCCCAGACCCAGACCCAAGGCCAGTGGGACTCGGGAACCCTGGGTTCTCTGCTCAGAGAGCATCCCCGTGGATCCCCCAGAAAATCAGGAAGGGACGTGGGAATGGAGGATCCTATCACCTTACAAATGGGGAGGTTAAAGTGATGTGGGGCCCTGATGCAGAGGCTTCAGGAGGGCTGCAACAAGACCCAGAGGCTCCCTCACTCCACCAGGCCCCAGGACGGGGGCGCTCAGAGATGGGGCACCGTCGGGAGAGGTAGAGAGAAGCCCTGATGCCCGGTATCCATCTGAGCAGGGCTTCCACATGGCCCAGCTGTGGCGTCCTGGCGTCTACAAGCCCTTCATCATCGGCATCTCCCTGATGGCCTTCCAGCAGCTGTCGGGCATCAATGCCGTCATGTTCTATGCAGAGACTATCTTTGAGGAGGCCAAGTTCAAGGTAAAGTGGCCTCTGCCCCAGCCTACCTCACCTGGAGGCCGTTTGGGTGGGGCCCAGCCTCGGGGTGTCCACCTGACCCACCTGGCCCGTCTCCCCAGGACAGCAGCCTGGCCTCAGTCGTCATGGGCCTCATCCAGGTGCTGTTTACTGCCACAGCGGCCCTGATCATGGACAGAGCCGGACGGAGGCTGTTGCTGACCTTGTCAGGTGAGGCTCCAGGGGGAAGGCTCTGCCCTCTGCAGGGGTCCAGGCCAGCCTCCCACCACAGGCTGGAGGGCCTTAGCTGAGGTCACCATGTTGCGGGAGGAGAACAAGGCTGAGTGTCCCCGAGGGCACGGGCAGGACTTCAGGGGAGCACTTGCTCCAGGCCCGGCCTGCGCTCACCGCGCCACTGCGGCACACCTTGACCTGGGTAAAGAACCTAGAAGAAGGCGCCCCCAGGGCCCGGTTTATAGTGAGGAGACCGACGGCCTGGGGGTGAAGAGGTCCTGAAGCCTGTGGCCTCTCTGGGCAATTGACTACCTGAGCCAGCTTCCCCTCTGAAATGCAGGTGGTGGCGGGTCGTGGAGAGAATCAGCATGCAGTGTGAGGAAGGCTCCTCATGGGCCTGGCGCCATCGGGCCCTCGGTGCTGCGGGGGAAGTTGGCCTGGCTGCTGGTGGTTGCTCCTGCTTCCTCAAGGCCAGGGGAGGGTCTGCTTCCAGAAGCTTCTTGGGGTCGGCTGAGGTGTGAAGTCCAAGCTGGGGCTGGCAGGGCCAGGCTGGGGCGAGGGTGCCCCGGCAGGAGTCTGTTCGCTGCCTCTCGCAGTGGAGTCTAGGCCGCCTGCTGTGGGCCCTGTGCACTGACCCGCCAGCCCCCCGACTGCCACATGCCCGGGCTGCGGGCCGTCTCCCCGCGCCCTCCCACTGCCCTGCCACCGCTGCCCTCCCCCCCACAGGTGTGATCATGGTGTTCAGCACCAGCGCCTTTGGCGCCTACTTCAGGCTGACCGAGGGCGGCCCCAGCAACTCCTCGCACGTGGACCTCCCGGCACACCTCTCCATGGAGCCCACCGATACCAACACGGGGCTGGCCTGGCTGGCGGTGGGCAGCATGTGCCTCTTCATCGCTGGTGAGTGGGGGGCCGAGGGGAGGTTGAGGGGGCCGCCGTGTCGCTGCCAGGTTCCCGTGGCTCCCGGGAGTCCAGGCCTGCTCGGCCTCACCCCTGGGTTCACAGCTCTGACCGTGTGCCAGGCACCGGCTCAGCCCCTCTCTGCTCCTTTCACGTCTGCCCCACAGGCGCCCTCCGAGCAGGCCCCGTTCCCGCGCTGTTCTATAGAGCCAAGGCCTTATGCATCAGAAGTGAGGGGAGCAACCTGAGACCCAGGCTGGATTCGGACACCGCTTCAGTCCAGGGGGGTCTTCGGCAAGCCCAGGGCCTAGCCCTGCGCACCTGAGGCCTTTCTTGCCCTTGCAGGCTTTGCTGTGGGCTGGGGGCCCATCCCCTGGCTCCTCATGTCTGAGGTCTTCCCTCTGCCCGTCAAGGGTGTGGCCACCGGCGCCTGTGTCCTTACCAACTGGTTCATGGCCTTTCTGGTGACGAAAGAGTTCAGCAGCCTCATGGTGAGTGCAGGCCCTGACAGCCTCCCCCTGCCATAGTCTGCAGAGAAGTACTTTTCAGAATTACTCTTGTGACAGACTCAGGGTTGGTGGCCTTGTGTGCAGGCTGAAGCCCCACCAGCCTGCGGCCCCGTCTTAGTTGGGAGTTGGGGAAGCAGACGGGCTGGGGCAGCCAAGGAACCCAGGCTGTGACCACTGGGGACCCTCCAGGCTGTCGAGGTGGAAGGACAGCAGGACTGACCTCCTCCCCCACTGGACTTTGGGGACTTTGGGAAGCAAGGCTGCGTGAGAAACTTCAGCTTCGGAGTCAGCAGCCCTGGGCCCCATCCCCACCTTGGCCGCTTCCCGCTGTGTGACCTTGGGTGCGCTGCTTCCCTGTCTCTGAACCGGCTTCCTTGGCTCAAAGCGGAGAAGGGGGACAGTGCTTTCCTCTTTGAGCTGATAGAAGCGTCAGTTCGGTTCCACATTTTTCCACCAGCTGGTGGGTGGGCTGATGCAGACATGGTCCCGGTCTCAAGGCCTCCGATCCAATGCAGGCACCGCTCTGGTGCAGACAGTCAAGCCATCTATTCAGTCGTTCTCCCCCCACTCCCCCCAAAGCTCCTGGTACCTGCCAGGTCCAGGCCTATTTAGGGTGCCAGAGCAGCAGTGAATGAGATGAACAGGGTCCCCTTTATCACAAAGGCTGGTACGACAGTGGCCAGTGGTAGGAGGATGAACCACCAGGAGGCTGGGCTGGGGCAAGGGGAGGCCGGTCATGATTGGCGTGGATGCTTGGGGCTGGCCTGGACCCTGCAGGGCTGCGCTGCTCCAGGGAGCTCATCAGGAAGACCAGAGCAAAGCCCTGGAGGGGAGGTGACTTCCAGGAGCTTGGAGGGGACCGACAGTCAAGGAGGGGATGGCAGCAAGGGACCTAAGAGTGATCTGGCCATCACTGCAAGACCAAGAGAAAGGCTTCCAGGAGGCAGAGGTGGGGTGGCCCGGTGCCCGAGGAAGAGGAGCTGGAAGGTGGCAGCCTTTGCTCCTGGCACCTGGGATGACACGGGCTGGGCGGGGAGGATGCACGGCTGTGACCCAGGGCCGCTGCTCCCTCTCCCCTCCGCTTATGGGCCCTGAGTGTCCCCATGTGCGCACACGGCCCCATCACCACCTACTGAGAGCTCACCCATTTCCTCCGGCACAAAGGAGAGAGACTCCAAGGCGGCAGGGACCACAGAGGGCAGGGCCAGACCGAGCGGAGAGGGAAGTCTCTGGGCCCTGGAGTCGGACCCTGGGGACGTGAGCCCAGCTGTCACTTGATGGTGGGCCTCTGACCTGGGGGCAGTCGCTTCATCACACTGAGCTCAGTGTCCCCACCGCACACCCTCCACAGCTTGGACAGTGCTCAGCTCGGGCTTCTGGACGGCCCACCAGGCCCTGCTCCACATCCCTGAGCCTGGGCGTGGCGGGGTGGGGCCTCGGCTCCTGGGCCCAGGAGGGCTCCTGACCTGCTGCGTCTTAACACAGCCTTGCCCCTCTCTTTGCAGGAGGTTCTCAGGCCCTATGGTGCCTTTTGGCTGGCCTCTGCCTTCTCCATCTTCGGTGTCCTTTTCACTGTGGCCTGTGTCCCTGAGACCAAAGGGAAGACTTTGGAGCAAATCACAGCCCATTTTGAGGGGCGATGACAGCCTCTTCCTATGAGCGGGTGCCCCTCCTGCTGCACCTGCTTTCAGCCTTGGAGGGTGTGGAGCCTACCTGTAACTCCAATCTGAGCCTGAGCTGGCAGCCTGGAACCCCTGCCTTTCCCCATAGAGTCAGGAGCCAGAACGGCAGCCCCTCAGAGCCTTGTCCTCTGGGGTCCCTCCTTCCTGCCCAGTGAAGCGCAGGGACCAGGTTCCCAGCTGCTGGGTCCAGTTCCCACTGCTGCCGTGTGACTCGGGAGAAGGAACATCTTGCAGACACTTTGCTGTCCTGCGGTCAGTCCTCCACACGCCGACTCCATCAGGACAGGAAAGTGACAGCGGAGGAGGGGGCTCTTGGTTCCTGATTTTCTGGAGATGCTTTGGAGGCTGGGCGATGGCCTGTGGTTTCTCCTCTCACGTGGCTGCATTATCAGGGAGGAACGTTGCCAAATAAATATTTGACTCAGAAAATCAAGTCATGAGCTCTTTGTGTGGGCTGCAGTCAAGAAGGGCATTTTCTTGTCCCTCCCATAAAAGCAGGCCTCCCATGAACTGAGTCTTGCCAAGAACATCTATGGATCAGCTTCCTTGTGGTCAGCCAGGCCCGCCTTTGGCACTTGGAGGTCATTTCCGGCTCCTTCCTCGGGTTCAGCCCCCTGAACCATTAGTCAGCAAATCTGATTGAGTTCCTCCTGTAACAAAATGTTCCTCTCTTCATATTAACTTTAATGGAGCCAGAAGTCTTTTTCAAATTACTTTTATTGTCTGTTGTATAATATACATTTATTATAGGAAAATTAGAAAACACTAATTTATTTAATATAATTATTTTTATAGCAGTTAACCATCTGCTAGGCACTATTCTATATTAACTCCTTTATTTAGATAAATAAAAAAAATTCACACCTATACCTTTCCAAACAGAACTGCTGTTTAGAATTTGGTCTTTAACCAGAAACTATCAAACTCCTAGAGGAGAACATAGGCAAAACACTCTCCGACATAAATCACAGCAGGATCCTCTATGACCCACATCCCAGAATTTT